GCGGCCGAGAAGCGTCTTTGCAACGAGGTCCTTCTCGGTGGGAAAGAAGAGGAGGTTGCCGCTTTGAAGGTGGACCTCGTGAAGCTGGAGGAGGCGAAGGCGGGGCTGGAGAAGAAGCTTGAGAAAACTGAGCGGGCTATCGTGTTTGAGCACAAGAGGGGATTCCTCAAGGCAGCTCGCCAGGCGAGGCTTCTCGCACCGGGGTTCGACCTCTCCGCCATGCATGTGGAGAAGGAGGTCCACTTTGGGAAGTTGGTGAAGGAGGACGACCTCGAGGACAACTCAAGTGAAAACGCCTCCGCCTAGGCCGCCTTTGCAATATCTTGGTTTAGTTTTCATTTTCTTTGAATTCGTGTATTGAACTCGTGAAATTGTTGTATATATATCGTTTTTTCTTTCGAGATTTCGATAGTTCTTCTATTTTTGAACTTGTGTGTTTTGTGCTTGTGCGTTTTGCGCTTTGCGCTTTGCTGGGGCTCAAACTTGGCCTGATGTGAATAATTTGACCGTTAGCTTAGAATGAAATAAATCGTGCCAAGATTCAAACTCGACCTCGGCGTAAAGCAAAATAAATTGTACTAAGGCTCGAACTCGACCTTGGCTTTAGAGTGAAATAGATCGTGCCAAGGTTCGAACTTGACCTCGGTTAGAGTGGAACAAGTCCTACTAAGGTTCGAACTCGACCTCCACTTTACGTAAGGTAACTCGGTCTAAGGTTTGAACTCGACCTTTAGCTTAGAATGAAATAAATCGTATCAGGCCCAATTTCTAAGCACACCCTCAAGCATTGCTAAATGTCACCCCCTTTTCCCTACTGAAAAAATATAAAATGAATGTATCATCTAGGGAGGTTAAATGGAGTTAAACTCTCCAAGTAACCTACCTTAAAAACAATATACAATCACTAGGAAAAAGCAAATAAAGTGCCTCACAATACAAAGGCAAAAATAACCTATACAAAAACTATGCATGAACTGTACAATATAAACAAGTAGAACTAAGACCTTCTCTTCATGATAGAGCATTCCAAGTGAAGATTACCTTGGGCCTAACAAGCCCATTAGTCTTCTCAAGATCTAGCTCTTCCTGTATCCTCTTAGCCATAGCTCTGGTCACTGGGCCCTTGGCCCATGGTCTATCATCTAAGTCCCTAAAGAAACACTGGTATACATAAAAGAAAGGAGGGTCAGAAGGACCCCCCACATAGACACGCTCATCAGACCGACAAGGCTCAAGCCGGATGAACTTGGAGACGGAAGAGTCACAAATCCTATGCGACTTTTGAATCGCGTTGATCTCCATGAACGACCTGAACACACTCTGGAACTCCCCCACGTCACTCCTGACCCAATCGTAGCTAGGAATTCCGGGGATGGGCTCCTTAGGCTGGTTATCCGCCTTTTTCTTGGGCTCTTTACGGTAGCCACCACCTTGCCGCGCGCCTTGCCCTTGCCCCTGGCAGGCGCAGAAGGAGCGGCACCATCGTCGCCAGCCATCAAGAAAATCAAAAGATTTGAGAAGAAGGAGAAAGTAAGGAAATCAAAGTACCTGGTACTCCTTTGACAAATGAAAG